AAATACCGCTATCTTGGAATGACGCCAATCAACTTGCATCTGCGTTACACAATTTCAGTTTATCAGTTAGACTAACTCAGTATATTATGCATAATTATTCAAAAAAACAGTAACAAAGACATGTCTATCATTCATATTAGTGTAACAAATAAAACAAATATGCCTTTATATGTGTACAAAAAATACAATTTATATTCTCATAGATATAACCACAAATATGCAAACTAAGACTTAAGACTTTCAACTTTTAACACCAATATTTATACTAATTGATAAGTTTATAACCGTTGAAAAATAATTATGTTGAAGTAAACAAAAATAAAGTTACGGACAGGGACAACAATAACAACAAAATCCAATTTTGTCCTTAATTTACAATACTAGCAAGGATAAAACAAATATACCTGTCAGAGTGATAAAATTATTACCTGTGAAAGAAGACTTCATCCAAAGGTACCTCAGATTCTGCCTTTTGCATAAACTCCTCACTGTTAACAAGCAATGATCTGACACCAGATGGCTGGTAAGACTTTGATTTTGGTTGCATTACGGATACCCTCTCTATAAAATAATAATTATAAAATAAAATAAAATATAACCATGTGATTAATTGAATAACATTTGTTCTCACATATCTCATCTGCAATATACTGGAACAATCAGCCTCACGGCTGGGGTAGCTTCGCTGTTAGCAATGCACATTTTAATTAGAGAATTCAAAAAAAAAAAAAAACACAAAATGAACAAGAAGTCAAAAATATCACTTTTTACCAAAAATGACAAAAAATAATCATCAAAATTAGAGAATTGAATATATTATAAAATGAACGAATCTGAGAGTGATCTGCCTGTAGTACATATACGGTAAGTATAATATCAAAGCAATCCAACTTGCGGTTTTCAACAAGTCAAAAATATCATTTTTTACCAAAAATATTCATCAAAATCAGAGAAATTTGGTAATTAATATGCACAGATTTTAGTACTTAAAGTAATCAGGTCAGTAGAAAACCTATCTCCTGAGTACCTATGCACCAGGTTTTATATATATTGAAATCTGTTTTGTGTGGCTTACGAGATATCATTGGGACAGCCGATATAAGGATTTCAACCCAAAACTAATCTGGCCTGAGCATTATATAATCCCATTATAACATCTGCATGTACTAAGGTTCATTGAAATCCAATGAGTAGTTCTTGAGATATTAGTGGTAATCGCAAAAATGTGGGACAAAACAAAGAAGGGGATTGGTTGTCATAGTTACTCTAAAAATAGGTATAGGCACATTTTTTAGATTTTGCTGCTAGAAATGTTAGCAATCTGATGACTGAACACTTCGAGCACCACGTCTACTTTTGTAATGTATCACAAAGAAAAAAAAACCCACATCACAAAACATCTACACCTCAATAACATCTTCAAAAATTGAAGAAAAAAAAACTTATCACAAAAATTCATAAAAATGTGCTGTGACAAAATTTAAGTGGGAGAAATTATGGCATTTAATAAAAGCATTTGCCAGGACAATGTTTCATGCAATTGTGACTTGTAAGAACTCTAGGAGAATGTCCATTGCTACACAATATCCAATCCCACCCCCATCCATGAAACATAACTACTGTGAAACACTTTATTTTAGCTGGAATTAATTTTCGCTGAAAAGGCATTTTGGGTGTTTTGTATGGAATTTATTTTCACTGATTTTTGACGAGTTGAATGTGAAATATAGGAAAAAAAGTATATTCGCTGGATTTTATTTTCACGGAATCATCCTTTCAGCAAAAATAGCAAAAATAAATTCCAAGCGAAAATAGTATTATAGTATTATAAAACTGCACCAAAAATATGATATATATGGTAGTATGTATATAATATTTGGTGCACGTTAAACTTTTAAAAATAGCTAGACGTTTCGAGCAATGGCTCTTATCAATAGCAGAGAAGAAACATAGATTTACCAGTTATAGTCTTCTTGGGATTTCTGTAAACAAACCTATCGAGGAATCGAATAAGTGTGAAATCCTGCAGAGGGTTGCCAGTGTATCGCACATACTGATCATTTAATAATGTGTTAGCAAAATGTGATACAGATGGATGGTAGTGTCCGGCAAGCTGTAATAACGAAAAGATAAACCTGAGATTAAAATATAGACAATATGAAGTATATAAAATCAATTTGTGAATTTCTTGTGGCAAGCAAATAGTTTTTAAAAAACAGGCTGTTAGGTGGTTCGTAACATACTGTACAATTTTTCTGTAAGCAGTGAGCAGAAAATTCTCTTTCTTATAAAACATGTTTATAACATTCACACCTTCAGGTAGATCAATACATTACCCCTCAAAAAATAATTACAAATACTTTTGTCAAACAAGAAAATTAATTCCAGCAACTTTTACCATCTTGAATGTGCAATAATCACTAAAGTGCGAGTATTTTGATTAAAATGTAATCCAATCTATTTACATGTAATCATAGCCTTAAAACATTGACAAAATATATCACACATGACATTATATTCATGTCAGTGAAATAGGTAGACAACAGGAATCAGTATATGAAATTAGAGAAATACCCAATAAATTGGCAAATAAAACACACTGCTTCTTTTTGGTGTACAGGTGTCACACTTGAAAAAAGTAAATGATAAATTTTCCGATAGCTAGCCAGAAATATCATTGAAAAAAAATCTACTTTCTGAGAAAATGACAAAAAATATACATAACCACAGAGATTGCTGAACAACGTCAACATGAAATCATGCCCTTTATATACGAGTATAACACGTAATGTAGCAACATGTATCATGCCAAAATTTGTTTTATTAGCATTGATGGGAAGAGTTCATCAGTTATCTCACTGTTATTATACTGGTACCAACACCTAACATACACCAGGATGACACAAGAAATGTACACGGCTAATTGTCTAGTATGAAAAAACAACATTTTTAAAACCACTAAAAATTCTCAATACTTTTGCTGGGAGGAATGTATCATCATGAAATGACAAAGCGTAAATAGAATATGAGGGTACCCAAACTTTTTCATGGAAACAAAGACTTTGTGAATCGCCAAAGCGTTAACCCCTCTACTATGGCAGTACTTTTGAATATAGTAGATTTCTATATTATTTTCTATGCTGAAAGTAATATCATTAAGATAGCTTACTCATATTGATTATTGATATAACTATTTTTGAACTATTCCATAGAACACAATGTTAAAGAATAATTGTATAAATTTACACTTTTCAAAACCTTGTTTTTTAAAAAAGATTCAGGGCAATAAAAAGTATCCCACCATTTACAATATATGATATATATGTGACCAACCTACAATTTGAGATATGGCATAATAACTCTGCCATAGATAAAATCATTATAATACTGACACTATCCACTAAAATAAATAAATTTATAATATTTTCATTATGAGGAGGCTTCTTTCGACCTTAAAAATATATGAAGGAAAGCTACCAATTTTGGTGAGGAATAAATTGTAGCAAGCACATGGCGAACAAAGCAGTCTGTCAGAAGAGCAAACACTGATTGATGTGACTGACAGTCGCTGGTAAAAAGCTAATCCAATAATACGTTTGGTACATACGACCATATTGTCATAGGTAGTAACAGATTGTTCCCAGAAGATATCTATTAATATTCAGTGTTCTCACAAAAATAACAAGAAGGTAGATGAAAGGTGCTGCAAAGAGTAGCATAAATATAACATACTGTAGCAGTAACGCTAGCATACAGGTTACAATCTGTAGCAGTAACGCTAGCATACAGGCTACACACTGTAGCAGTAACGCTAGCATACAGGCTACATACTGTAGCAGTAATGCTAGCATACAGGTTACATACTGTAGCAGTAACGCTAGCATACAGGCTACATACTGTAGCAGTAACGCTAGCATACAGGCTACATACTGTAGCAGTAATGCT